ACTATTGTACTTATTAAGTACCCTTACAGACTTGGAACCTTGCTAACTTTCTCCAGCCTTGTAAGTGGACATAATTTTTCACTAACCACTTCTCCATGTAAAAGTGCAGTGTAGCAACAAAATGTCAGGTTTTTCTTAAATTAGCACATTGTTGAGATTTTTACATGTTTAGTACTCTATTGTCCAAAAACTAATACACATCCAATATTTCTTAAAGTGGATGATTTTCATATGCAGTAAAATATAGTGGGAAAAAATGTTTAAGCTTCCACTGTTCTAGAACACCTATGGATTCCAATATCAATTTGTCTAAATTTTAATATAAATTACGCAGATTCCAAAGACTGTGGGGGAATTGATTTAAACATATATTGATCCAGTTGGTAGTGCCTGTGACCCAAATCTACCGTGCAATTGGAAGACTTGATTGCTAGAAAAACTAGAAGGTAATTTGGCTGTGAGTGGTATTATTTTTTGTTTTCAATGACAACAAGAATGTTAAGCAGATAAAATATCCCTTGAAGGAAGGCTAATGCTGAAATCATACAGAGTTTTTTAAATGGACTGTAGGATTCTAACTCTTTTATATTGTTAACTTATTATTAATGTGAAGATCCTCTCCTTTGCAGATTATTCAGACCCATGGCTTTTCTTCCTCTTCACACTCTTGCTTTTCACCTCAAAATAGACAGAGGAAAAGATAAACAATCACACTCAACATCAGTACTTTGTTAATTCTAATTCTCACACTAATCTTTTCTAAACCACTTGGACCTATCAGTTAAAAGCTTCATGTTTTGGCACTGTTCTTGATTATTTTGACTGAAAGGTTCTTGTAGCTTTTTTCTGTGTCTTGGGTATGGCATATCTACTTCACAGGTCAGGCAGTTTTCCATGAAGGTACAATGATCAGACCTGAATGTAATTTCCACAAAGTCAGGGGCTTTGTTTGCTTTGTTCAGTGCTAAAAAACCTGGTACCTACAACAGTCTCTAGCACATAATAGAGTACAGTATTTGTTGGATGCATGGATGGACGGATGGATGGGTGGGTGGATGGATGGATGGATGGATGGATGGATGGATGACTTTGGTGACCTAAGCAGCCATTGGCAACCTTTTTTTGGCGGGGAGGTACTACTACTTTAAGATATTAGCCAAATAGTCAAATGCTCTCAAATATAATCCATCTCTGAATATATTTTAAGTCATTTATGCAATTGTTTACATGTCTATAGAGTGGCAGTAATAAATTATTAATTCTATGTAATCGTCCAGAGGTTATGAATATGTTTTTCACCACTGTTTCCTCAGTGTTTAGGAAACTGCCTAGCATATAGGTAGATGCTCAATAAATAGTTGTGTATTGAATAATAATAAACTGGACTTCCTGTATATAAATGCTTTGAATTGATGGTTAGCATTCTGAGATTAGGATATTGTGAGATAGGCTATCTTTAATCCTTTTGGCTTTTCTCTTCTCTATTTATATATCTTTATTTATTTATTTTTAAAATTTTTTTGAGTTGGACTCTTGCTCTATCGCCCAGGCCAGTGTGCAGTGGCACAATCTTGGCTCACTGTAACCTCCGCCTCCTGGGTTCAAGTGATTCTCCTGCCTCAGTCTCCCACTTAGCTTTGACTACAGGCGCATGCCACCATGTCCAGCTAATTTTTTGTGTATATTTTTTTTTAGTAGAGATGGGGTTTTACCATGTTAGCCAGGATGGTCTTGATCTCCTGACCTTGTGATCTGCCCGCCTCAGCTTCCCAAAGTGCTGGAATTAAAAGCATGAGCCACCGCACCCAGCCTTTTATATGTCTTTGTTAATTATAAATATATATCAGATTGAGGCCGGGCGCGGTGGCTCACGCTTGTAATCCCAGCATTTTGAGAGGCCGAGGCAAGTGGATCACAAGGTCAGAAGTTCGAGACCAGCCTGGCCAAAATGGTGAAACCCCATCTCTACCAAAAATACAAAAAAAAAATTAGCCGGGTGTGGTGGTGCCTGCCTGTAATCCCAGCTACTCAGGAGGCTGAGGTAGGAGAATTGCTTGAACCCGGAAAGGGGAGGTTGCAGTGAGCCAAGATCGTGCCATTAAACTCCAGCCTGGGCAATAGAGCAAGACTTCGTCTCAAAACAAAACAAAACAATACACACATACACACACACACACATACACACGTTGGTTTAGGGGTCTAAAAAAAGTATATCACTTCATCAGTGAATTTGTTTTCAGTTATTTACATATAGAGATATTGCCTTTATACAATATGGAATGCCCTTTCTTATTACAACTTTTTTGTCCTGTTAATCTATATAATAGTAAATACATTGTGTCCTCATCAGACACAACTAGAAGAACTCACTCTCTTACTGTCTGCTTTTACTCTGTGTATTAAGGGGGACTGAAAGCTGATTTTTATTTTTCCTGAGATGGAGTTTCACTCTTGTTGCCCAGGCTGGAGTACAGTGGCACCATCTCAGCTCACTGCAACCTCCACATCTTGTGTTCAAGTGATTCTCCTGCTTCAGCCTCCTGAGTAGGTGGGATGACAGGCACGTGCCTCCATGCGCAGCTAATTTTTGTATTTTTAGTAGAGATGGGGTTTCACCATGTTGGCCAGGCTGGTCTCAAGCTCCTGACCTCATGATCTGCCCACTTCAGCCTCCCAAAGTGCTGGGGTTACAGGCATGAGCCACTGTGCCCGGCCAAAAAAGTTGATTTTCAGTAAAGCAAGATGCAGCTTTTCATCCTACCAGTTTTCTCTGTTTCTTCTTTTTTGCATGTCGCCTGCTCCCACCAGGTCACCAAAGTTTTTATTCCATTTGATTTGTCTGAGTGAGGAATTATTCAGATATTAGATCTAAAGGAATAATAAGCTAGTATAAATAAAGAAGTGTTAGAAAAGGGGAAATGGGAATCTCAAGGAACTCCTGTCGGAAAGTATAGCTAAATCTCACAGAAACTTGAAACTGACAAAGCCCTGAATTTGCACATCTAGCCCGTGCTCTGCTGTCCTCTTCACAGATCAGCTTTCTCTTCATGGTCCTTGGTTCCCATACCTTAGCTTACATGTGGCTGACATAGCCCTAATTTGGATTCCAATTTTATAAACCCTTACAAATTCAGCCTCCAGTACACTGCCTGACTTTTTGTATTTATTTCAAAATTCCAAGACAAAGAGTCTGACTGTCCCAGACTGAGTCAGACGATGAGGCACAGGCTCACCAGCTGTGGCCATGGAGGTAAGTTCAAGTGGTAGAGAGGGCAGAGAACCAGGGTGAAGACGCAGGTTCTCTTAGAAGGAGTATGTGGGGAAGAAATAATAGACATTCTAGAGCCAAGCTTTTTATTATATTATGTGCTCCATTTCCTTAACCATTACTATATTTATCTACTCTATTTCCTTATCCATTATTTTTTAGAGCAGCATTTAAATTATTTCCAGTCTTTCACTGTTGTAAAATAACTGCTAAAAAAGATGTGTACCTCGTTTTTTTCCCTCTGAATTATTTCCTTGAAATTGAGACGTTTTCGGGGCAAAGAATGCGAATGTTTCTATGCTTTTTAATACGTGAAAGTATTGTATCAACTTACAAGGCCATTAGTAACATTGGTTTTCCTCACTTCAGGGTTTTCTGGAAATTGTATTGGTTGCGGAGAAAGAGGATTTCGATATTTCACGGAATTTTCAAACCACATTAACTTGAAGCTCACCACTCAGCCAAAGAAGCAGAAGCACTTAAAGTACTACCTAGTCAGAAGCTCCCAGGGTGTGCTTTCTAAGGGACCTCTTATCTGCTGGAAAGGTAGTCAATTTCCAGGAAGAAAAGGGGAGGGAATGGAGATTTTACAATGGTGACAAGTGAACCGTACAAGGTTCAGGGTTCAGGTGCGATACTGATAAATATCTCAAGTTCAGAAGGATATCCAAAAATGTAAAGCCTTCTGGTAGGTTATTTGGCTTGCCCCTTACTATTTTTAACAGAGACAATTCAAGTTTAGGAAAGTGCATGTTGGCCGGGCACAGTGGCTCATGCCTGTAATCCCAGCACTTTGGAAGGCCAAGGCGGGCAGATCATGAGGTCAAGAGATCAAGACCATCCTGGCCAACATGGTGAAACCCTGTCTCTACTAAAAATACAAAAATTAGCCAGGCGTGGTGGTGGGCACCTGTAATCCCAGCTACTTGGGAGGCTGAGGCAGGAGAATTGCTTGAACTTGGGGAGATAGAGGTTGCAGTGAGCAGAGATCGCACCACTGCACTCCAGCCTGGTGACAGAGCGAGACTTCATCTCTAAATAAATAAAGGAAAGTGCATGTTTCTGTATTTGTCTCTTGGGAAAGGAGTACAGCTTTCAGGGGCAAAAATGGACTCTTTCTAGCTCTTCCATCGTTTAGAGAGGACCTCAGGGTGATAGCTCCCTTTTTCTCTGTTTAATTTCTTTGGAGGTTCTCCAGCATTTTTTCTATTTTAACTAGACCTAAACATACTTAGAATAAACATTAATGTTCTTTTCATAATAACCTGGGAAAATACACTATTAAGTTGGCAAAGTGTTATTTCTTATACATTAGAAAGAACTTATTTATAAAAATGAATCCAGTTGAAAATTCACATCTTCATGTGCTTGATAGGAATTGACAGAAGTTCTCTTCACTGTGCTACAGAAAAAAAAAGTATTTAATTATTATCCTATTGATCAGTTTCTTGGATGCTAAGATTTTTTTTCTCCATTTGATATTTATCTTTAATGTTTCTATTTGATGTCTACACAAGATTTTTGCCTGACTATGAAAAACAGCATCATATTCCAAATTACAACTGCAGATTTGTTTCTGAGCCCTTCACCTTAATTTCTCTTGGTTACCTTTGAAGTAGCATTATATGGTTCTTTAGGAAATGGGTACATATTCCAAGACAGGTATTATCAGAACTTAAAGCTTGTGACCACTAAATCATAAGCTGGATAATTATAGATAAGTCTTTATCCCATACTTACCTGGCAGGGGAGATACCATGATCACGAAGGTGGTTTTCCCATGGCAAGCTTATCCATTGCACTCAGTATGTGCTGACCCCTGTGATTTCCCCAAATGTGGGCAACTCGACTGCATAATTTGTGGTAGTAGGGGACTGTGTTTGCACTTTCCCCTGGTTTTTCGTAAAAAAAAAAGAAAAAAAAAGGAAAAAGAAAGTCTTTATCCTATTTAAGGATTTTTCTCATAAAAATCAATTGAATATCATAAATCCTAAGAAAAGGATAAAAATAGGATAGATATTACCTCCCTCCCTTTTAATTTCCTTCTTTAGCCTTGTTTTGGTTGTATAAAATACTTTTAACTTCTTAGTACTCAATGGCAATTCTTCTTTCTTTTTTTTTTTTTCTTTTTGAGACAGGAGCTTACTCTGTTGCCCAGGCTAGAGTATAGTGGCTCACTACAACCTCCCCCACCCTGGGCTCAAGTGATTGTCCCACCTCAGTCTCCCAAGTAGCTGGGACTACAGATGAACACCACGTGCCTGGCTAAATTTTGTATTTTTTGTAGGGATAGGATTTTGCCATGTTGCCTGGGCTGATCTCAAGCTGAAGTGATCCACCCACTTCGGCCTCTCAAAATTGTAGCATTACAGGGATGAGCCAGCATGCCTGGCCTCTTCTTCCTAATAAAGAATAACATTTGTGAAAGAAACCTCACGTTTATAATAGTTGCTATTTTGGAACTGAAATTATATCTATATAATTTATATATGTACACATAATAGCAATATACATGTATGTATATATTACATATTGGAGATACGCTCTTAGGCTAGAATACAATAGCTCTTCATAGAAAGCCATAGCATAGAAAGTTACAGAAAACTGCTTCCAGTCCTTGTATGTGTCGGATAAACTTGGAGATATTCTAAAAAACCGTCTATAATTAACTTTGTCATATATAATCATTTATATTCCTTTTTCACATGCTACTTTTTGAGACTAATAGGGTAAAATTTTGTTGGAAGTTAACAGTCCCACAGGCTGTCCTAGTATTTACTTTCTACCTGAATCAGTACAAAGCACTATTAAAATATGCCAGAGGCCCATTAATACTGATTTGCTTAAAATGAAGCTTGGTATAGCATGATCAGTACCACTTTGAATATAGTCTCCTTTAATAAGAACTGGGAATAATATTAATTTGAGCATAAATTTTTCTCTACTGCCTACACATTTTTTTTGCTTCTGTTTTTGAACCTAAATTAAGGTTATGAAGAGAAGGTTGTAGGCAGCCTAGACAGACCCTTGGTTACTTTTTATACATAAACCAATCCCAGGTAGGATGTTAACTGGTATTGAAAGACTTACTAGGTTTTCATAAATTACTAATGTTTTAGCCTCTGACTTACCCATTAAACTACCATGACTATATTGGTTATGAGTATTTTTCCTCTGGGAACTAGTATATAGGGAACAAAAATCCAATTTTTTTTGAAACTATTTATTTGCCTTCCAAACAAAAGCACTGTGTTCACTAGTTTAAATATTCTGTTGGAGTCAGGATTGGGGAAGGGAATCTCTAGAGAGGTGGCTGCCGCTTAAGGAGCAGCAATTTAATTTAGAGATTTTATAGATTGTGTCCCCATCACCTGTTTTAACAAAACACTGATTATTTCATACAATGTGATTTTTACTCTTTTCCAGAATGTAGAAGCCGACAATCCTCTGCTTCTTGCCAAACTATTAAACCAAGCTCTTCAGTGTCCTCAACTGTGACCCCAGAAAATGGGACAACTAATGGATACAAAGCAGGATTCACTCAGACAGGTATGGGGTATTTTCTTTTGGCATTTCAAGCATCACATGTATATTTAATGAGGCTTTTTTTTTTTTAAATACTTCCTGCTGGCTGGTTTGAATAGAGAGATTTCAAAATAAAGGTATTACTTGAGTTACTATTAGAATTAGAACTCAGCCTTGAGATGGATTCATCTTTGGATGACCAGGACCGAAGTCCTTATAGTCCTGACAGTTGTCAGGAAATTTAGCTGAAGCCTAGGACCTCATTCTAGGGGAGACTGACAGTGGGCAGTAAGTAGAAATGCAGACATGAGGGAAGTCTGCATCATAGCCATTCATTGGCAAGTACTGGGGACACAGTCATGAAGACTGGAGTTCCAGGGTAGTGGGCAGGGCTCTAACTAACTGGACTACAAAGCAAGGTCCTAGGCTACGATTATGGATGACAATGGATGAATCTAGGATCTACTTTCTAGTGGTACAAGAGAGGGACTTAGTTATGAGTAACTAGATAAAATCTTAGTGCCTGAAACTAGGTCACAACATCAGGGCAGGATCAGCAGAATGACTGATCTACTACTGAGCAGATAAGCTACTCATCTGAGGCTTCTAAAAATTCCTCCAGTATAGAGCACCGGCCCAGGCCCTGAAGCCAAGATAAGATTCCAAGTGGGGCCAGGCACGTGGCTCATGCCTGTAATCCCAGCACTTTGGGAGGGTGAGGCAGGCAGATTGCCTGAGGTCGGGAGTTCAAGACCAGCCTGGTCAGCATGGAGAAACCCCGTCTCTACTAAAAATACAAAATTAGCTGGGTGTGGTGGTGTGTGCCTGTAATCCCAGCTATTTGGGAGGCTGAGGCAGGAGAATTGCTTGAACCCGGGAGGCGGAGGTTGCAGTGAGCCGAGATCACATCATTGCACCCCAGCCTGGACAACAAGAGTGAA